TTTTCTTTTCTTTTCATTTTACCTTTCCCAAGAGATGGTGAAGAAGTAATGAAACTATGCCATAAAAGTGTTCTTTTTTATGGTCTCCGCTTTTTCATTTAACATTGAATTGAAATGACAATTTGAAGACTAAACAAGGACCAAGATTATGCTCGAGTTCAGAAAGCCTCAAAATCCCCATTTAAACCTGGTTTTAACATCAATCTCATGTGACATTTTGTGAACTGGTTGTCAGAAACACACGTGATCCCATTGCATAGTAGTCAACACGGTTGTTTCACCAGAAGTAAAAGTGAGAGTAGTCTCGCCGTTATCTGGAAAACCAGGTAATTCCCTGGCTGTAATTTTTTTTTTTTTTTTTTTTTTTGGCTGTTTGGCAGTATTCAATACTGTATTGTGTGTACAATACACTGACTCTTCCGTGGAATTTGCCGTCTCAGTTCTTCTCTGTGTCCAGCTGGTCTGGTGTTGGCAGACACACTCGTGCCAACAAAGAGCCACATTATTCAGACCTCTGGAGAACTGAGCACCAGTTTACTTTAGCCTAAGAAGTTAGTCAAGAAGGCTGATTATAACTTAATATTGATATCTGTATTCTTTGATATGATCACTGAAAACCATTCAGGTGTCTCTAATACAACTTTGTGATTTACAGGTCAATTTTTCAAGTGGCTTTCGTAACTAACACAGAAAGTGAGTCGTTGGTGTGGATGGAAAAAAAGCTAAATAGCAGACAGGGTGATTTTAAAAAAAAGAAGAGAAAATACACCAGTGTTTAATGAATAATTATGTTTTAATTTGAATCATTATTATGATAACACTTTTCTTAAAGCGTAGATTTATAATGTTTATATATAATGCATTATTAAAGTATTTTTTATGCATTAGTTATGCCTTTTAATGCACCTTATAATGCATTGTATGGTCTCATGAATAATTGTAACCAGTTATAATACTTATATATTCATTGTTACACCTTTAGAACGTATATTGTATTAAAACAAAGACATAATAAACAACCAATTTCAGATGTAACAAGGACTCCGCAAATAGTACAAATCATTTTAACTTTGGTTGCACTTATTTATGAAAAGATATAATGCATTATAACATACATTATGAATACCTTTATAGTGCATGATTGTACATAATTGCTTTAAGTTAAGTGTTGTCATAATAATTTGTATTATTTTATAATTTAGTTTTATTATTATTACTACTATCCTAATAATATTTGTATTATTGTTTTATAAATTAAATGTATTATTAACAACAGTTTTAATAATTAATGATAATAATAATCACTATAAAATATTTTTAGCCCAGTTGTAGGCAGATTACAATTGCCAAACGATGTAGCAACAGCACATTAATGTAGAATTCAATGAATGAATATTGACAATGTGACTCGTCCTGTTTTATATTAGCGTATAAGCCTCCTGGACATTCCTTGAAGAAGCTTGAATGCTTATATCTGGAAGTGTAGGCGAAGTGTCCGAGGCAGTGGTCAGGTCACACATGACAGCACTGATGTGATGAGAGTATCACAGACAGCTGAGCTTCTTCATCTGAATGGCCGTCCTCATGACACGGTGATAAAGCCTGTCAGCTCGTCTCACTGTGATTGTCAGAGCTCTTCACCCTGGCCATGACTGCTCATACTGCAGTACACACACTTCACATGCTCTCCTTGGCCTCATGAACATGTCAAAGCAAGACCTCCATTGGTTTGTTTTGTCTGTGGCTTGGTTTCGATTTCTCATTACAAGAATTAGAATTTTCCCAGATCTTGCAAGTATTTTTACTTCAGTTTGGACTAATGTGAGCATTCACATTTCCTGTCATTTTCTGTTGCAGTTCGCTTCATTATTGCCTGGTTTATTTACATTGTAAAAAAAAAAGAAAGAAAAGAAAGTTTGTCAGGTAACCTAATATTGTAACATCTTAAATGAACTGGGTTTATTAAAATCAGGAATATTTATTTAATATGACTATCACACCAACTAATCTGGAGTTATTTTTTTCCAATTCTGAAGCATTACATTTTTTTAGCTATCCTTTTTTCTGTTGAACATAATATTCTGATTAGAGATGCACCGATTACAATTTTCTAGGCCGATTCCGATTTCCGATTTTTCTTGAGTTTGACCTGCCGATACCGATTTTAGCCGATTCCGATTCCCTTTTTTTAAACCACTTTACAGCACACACAAATATTTATTTTCTATCTTCTCTTTAATAGAACATTTTGCATAGAACATTTTTTTAACAGATAATCGCTATAAAATAGGACTATATAAACTACTCCTGGTGTGGGACATCCACACACATCTAAAGTGCAGTGTTATGGAAGAAACATTTCCTTTTCACATCCAATATCCAACTAAAAAAAATTGATATATTTAGCAAACTAAACTTTTGTATGAAAACAGGTAATGGCAATAAAATAATATATAAATAACAAATAAAAATAAAATAAATATAGCCTACCCTTGCAGTATATATTTCTCAACACACACACACACACACACAGGCCTATTGCAATCACTTGTACATCAATGGCAAGTTATATTTCTCAAACAGTTTTTCTCTCTGACACGTCCAGCCAGGCTAAACAGGACAAGTGGAGCATGCGCAGGGAAACGATTGGGAATAAAAACAAGTTATTTTTTATAAATATTTTTGAGTCTTCATTTTCTTTTCTGACATAGCCTGGCTACTTCAGTTCTTGTTAAAACACACCAGACGTGCAAATTCTGTGCATTTTGGGCACTTTTGGGATGAAATCCTATTTATTTCGTCCATCAAAAGTATGCTTTCACTTTAATTGAGCGCGAGCAGAATAGACTCGGCGCTGAAACCCGCGCTTCACTGTTGCTCACGCGACGCTCCTGCTTGACGCTCACGCGCTGCTCCCGGTGTGAATGCACTCATTGATTAACATGCACGCCGAAGAAAAAAAACCCCGCTGCTCACGCTTGCGGTGTAACGGTCGTAATTCACGAGGTTTCCTAGATGTGTGTTCCGTGTGCACGTGTGATGCTGATGTTGCGCGATGTTAATCATGCGGCGCCCGAGTGCAGATTTGACCGGCATAAAATCGGCATTGTCAGACTGACCGGCCGGTCGCCGATCATGGCCGATCACTTGAAAATCGGCCGATTCCGGTCACCAGCCGATCAATCGGTGCATCTCTAATTCTGATTATAAAAATAAAAAGTTAAACCAGTTGACAAACCAGTGTAGATTTATAATATATGCTGTCATGTTGACTATCATTGAGGGATTTAAAAGACTAACTCAATTAAATAAATATATGTTGAAATTATTAAATACTTGATGTTGCAATAAATAAATAAAAGTACTATAAAATAAAACATTTAATAAATGCATAAATACATGTATTGCCATGTTTGTTTATTTGTACTGGCTTTTCATTATGCTTATTTATTGATTGCAACGTTTCGTGATATTGATTTCATTTATGTTGTCCACTACATTTTACTTCAAGGTATTTTATTTTGTATTTCATCTTTCATTTTAAGGGGTATTTCACATTACTTTTTATTTGATATTTTTCGAATATATCAATTTCACACCTTATTTATTTATTATTACATTTCAATGTACTTTTATCTATTGCAACATTCCATGACATATTTAAAAATGTCATTATTTATTAAATCCCTCCAGCGACTATTGTTGGACCTATAAAATAATAAAAATAAGATTTATAAAATTGTAATTATTTTCTATTTGCATCAGCCATATTTGTGCAACCCTTATAAATTGAACTCTACTAATTTGCTTAAACAACAATATATATTACTTTCCAAGTTTGAAGTTTGGTGCTCTTCTGTGGGTAGATTTAAGGATGCGTTCAGCTTGGAGCAGAGTGTGTGTGTGTTGTTCTCCTCCAGTGACTCACAGTCAGATGAGTTCAGTCACTGTTTATCATGACGTGTTGCCTTGCAGTGTTTGTGGTCTGTTTTTAAAGTATGAAAGAGAGGCTATGTGATCTGGGGAAAGCCCTAGTGCATGATGGGATATTGGAGGACTCTGGGCAGGGTCAGTATTAGGTCATCTTCGCCCAGTTGCTTTCAGTCATTGCTGTCTCTCAGGAAGAATAAGAATGTTTAGTACGTCTCACTTCCTGTGATCATCATCAGAGGCGCGTGTCACTCTAAACTTTTCTCTGTAATACCTTTCGGGCAAGGACGTTAAAAACGGTTCACTTTCCCTAATGTGAACACTTCTAATCACTTTTCAGTTGACTGAGAAGTATTTGTCTCTCCATTGGACTGCATTTGTCTCTGATTCACAGAGTGACACAAGCCACCTTACTGATTAATTTATCATTATTTTCAATAGCAAATAAAAAATGCTTTGCAATGTCAGTCATTCCATTCAGTCCAGTGTGCACAGAAGAATATATATCACTCTTTTTTAACACTTATTTATAACACTTTTATTTTTATTTCTTAATTCCCCATAAGAATAATGTTGAATCATTTTAAACACTGATTTATTTTTTATTTTCACTCATCAGTCCAGTCCACGCAAGAATAATATCCCATAATTTTTAATACTTAATAATAACACTATTGTTTTCTTTAAAATATAGTAAATAAGTATAATATCCAGTCATAATTAACACCAATTTATTTTTTTATATTGGTCAGGGAAATCTGTGGTGAGTTTTTATGGGATGTTTTGTAAAGCTTGTTTGAGCAGCAGTAACCAAGGGAGGTGGATTGTGCTGAAGGGTCAATAAATAAAGTCTGCATAATTAATAACTTAAGTCTCACACTAGTAAGTAAAGGTCACTCTTTTTCATCCATAACAAGCCAGTTATCTGTCATCCTACAGATAGCAGTGACACTCAGAATGTGTTTACATTCAAACGAAAGTTCTGTTTTCTGGTACCGCCTGATGCTAGCAGTGGAATTAACACATTTAAAAAATGTCTACATTTAATCTCTCTTTCTCTCTGTCTCCAGACCACTCCAGCTCCAGCGGCACGTTGTCCTTCCAGCATCTGCGCTCGCAAGGTCCCATCCCCACGGCCCACGTCATGCCATCTCCGTCCATCTCCAAACTCAGCACTCCCTCTGCCCCCACAAGCCCCTGGAGCAGCTGCCAGCTCCCCTCTCCCCTCGACAGCCCCCTGGACATGAAAGACCCGCGGCCAGTGCGCCGCTGGTCCTCCCTCACCCGTCTCACCGGCCAGGAAAAGACCAGTCCTTCCGGGAGACCGTCGTACCGCACGGACCCTCACGGATCCCTGGATCGAGGTGTGCTCTATGGCTACCGACAGGACCCTCTTTATTCAGACGGCTTCCTCTCCGAGAGCCTGCACAAACTTTCCACCAACTCTGACTTTACGAAGTATGACCTGGGCAGCAGTAACACCCTAGGTAAAACAGACTCGCCTTGCTCGTCTCCGCTCAAGCCCAGCACGTTAGACCTCTCCTACAGTGCCTTACCGGAGAGCAAGACCCCCACGATCGGCCTGGCCGGGCCCGGGCAGAGAGGTCCCACGCTCAGGCACCAGGCCGTGGGGGGGTCGCCCATCCAGCCGGCCGTGCGGACGCAGATGTGGCTGAGTGAGCAGATGGAGTACCGGCCGGGACCAGAGGGATGTGGCGGCTCGTGGCAACAGGAACAGCAGCAGCGAGAGCGACTACGCCAGGAAGCAGAACTCCCACAGGTCAGTTTGCAATGTTTTTGACAGGGAATATGAAGATGAGAAAAATATGCTGGGTGCTCTAGTTGTGTCTATAGTAAAGCTGAATTGTTTTTATGATACCATTGAAGAATGCCTTGTAAAAGTTGGTTGATAGCGCCCTCTGCTGGAGACAGTGGTAGGGTGAATTATCCTCCTTTTTACAGAACAAGACATACAAATGCTTTATTTATCAGACATTCTTTCTTTTTTTTAAATACATGTTTAAGGGATGTTCCAGATTACATTGTGTTATTTTAGTATTATTTATATACTATTAAAGTTTTTATTCATAATTATTCAGTTTTTTTTTATTTATATACTATTATAGTTTTTATTAATAATTATTCAGTTTTTTAATTATAGTTTGGATTTTAATTATTTCTAATTTTGCTTTAATTTATTTTTATTTCGATTTTGGAATTTTGATATAAAATTTATTTTATTTAAACTTAGACATTTTATTTTAGTTAGTTGCCAAGGCAAAATTTCCAATTTAATGAAAAAAAGTTTGGGCAGTAATTTCTACTTGCCCTTCTAACATTGTTAATAAAAAAAAAGGTAAATTTGGAAAAATAGATAAATCGATAGATATAGATATTTTAAAAATAATTAAAAACATATATAAAATTCTATTTAAAAAAATAAAAAATATATACATTTAAAATGAGTATAATGGGATGAGTCAAATTTATTATTTCGAATTATTGTGGTAATTCATGCCTCAGATGCTGTCAGTAGAGTTTATATTGTATTGCACTTGAATTGAAATTAACTTTCAGATAATGAATCATAGTGAAATTTTTAAATCCGGCGTTTTTCTGAAAACTGCATCTTACATACCAGAATATAGATAGTAGTGGAGTGAAGGGGTGAAACGTTTGACGGATTCCTGGCGTCAGCCGAAAAGGAAAGTCATTTCAGAAACAGAACAAGGCTATGATTGAAATCATGTGCACTGTTGAATATACACAATATGACCAGGAATGTGCATTAAGAAAGTAAATAAGGTCACTTTTGATTTTATGTTGATTATGGTCTCCTGTGCCGGGTGTCTATTTTTAGTAGTAAAGTCTTTGAATTTCTCAGCTTGAGGCTCAAAATGTTTTATTCAACCTAAAGAGAAACCAAAAACATTTGTTATCAGTGGAACGGTTTTATTTGCAGCATTTACTTCCATTCAGTCTTATTTCTCCAAAGACTTGCATTATGAAAATGTATATCATTACTTCATAAATATATTCACACAGAGAACACAAGAACACAGTGATTGTGATTGTATAAATAATGTATAAAGGTTACAACTTTGATTATATTATAGGCAAACCAGTCTGTTTTCTTATTAAAAACATGACTATGTCCTTCTATTTATGAAATACATCTGATTAGGAGTGTGTATCTACAGCGTTTATAGCAGGAAAAAAAATGCATGTAGTATTTTTAGGAATAGTGTCAATGGCGTGTCATGTGATTTGAGAGCTTGTCTATATTTTCAGTTTAATTTATTTGGCCGTGTACTTAAATCCACACCTGCTGTTCACAGAAAAAGAATCTCATTTTGAGGTAAATCCCATTTTTAATCCTTGTTATGTTGTTGTTTTCGTGAGCAGTTAGAGGCAACAACCATTAGAGGGCGCAGTGATACTGGAAGCAATGCACCTACTGTACATACTTCCTGTCAGTTTTAAAGCCTCAGGATATTTAAACTAAAATGGAGTATTTTTGATCCATTTTGATTTTTTTTTTCTTCTTTATTTGATTCTGGAGAGTGATGCGTTGGTAAACCGTTTTTTATCAATTTACTGTAGACCTACCCCTCCATTAAGCTCTTGCAAAGTGTGTTTTGTAGGTTAAAGGTGTTGTAAAGCAAAGAAAATTAACGCCAGACTCGTGTCCCTATTGACTAATTCAAATATGAATATGTGTCCTGAAAATGTGTTAAAGCCAAAAAAAGCCCACTTTGGAAAACTAGCCAATCAGAAACATTTTCTGCCTATCAATCATGCACAGGTTTGTCTAACTTAGAAAAAGATAGAAGTCAGCCTAATGTCTGAAATCATTTGCAGCGTTTTTACATGGTTTTGGAGGTAGAGTGAGTGGGAGTCTCTTATACCGATTATTCTTGTTTCGGGCCATTTTCGGGTCACATGAGCTTGACCAGAATGAGCATGAGCAGTAGAGCCACTACAATAAGCAGGAAGTTGAGCAGCAGGTTTAGTCCTCGGTTATTGGTCAGATCCATACTGATGGGATGGAGATTTCCAGGGTTGTTCGGGTTCAGCCGTGGTGCCGTGTAGCCCAAGGGTATTCAGCCCCAGGTGGAAGATCTTCTTGTTGTCCAGTGAACAGGAGGACGAGCAGCTTACATCGCGCCGCTGGTCTCTCATATGCCGTAGAAAGAGCTAAACATGATTGACAGACTGACATGAGCTTTGCTGACAAGACACAGTCATAGAAACAGACAATAACTGGTTCTCTTATGTATTATTCAAACAAGCTTTCTGTGACTTCGTGATCATTAAAATAGTGATTAGTACAGTGGGAGTATCAGTCAAAAACAGAAGCAGCACACTTTTTATTGCACACACGTGATCATTTTTATTGCACACACGTGATCATGTCATTTTTTTATTGAGCAAGTGTTTTTCAGTTTGGCATAGTGTGTAACGGAAGACGTGACTCAGATGACATCTCTCAGGCCCGCAGGTGACATGCACTGATGGGATAGTGACAAAGACAGTTGCATGCTTCATAAGTTCATAGTGAAGACTGGTCAGTTCCTCAATCCACCACAGCATGGAGCTCCAATCCTGTTTAAGTTGGATGCTACCTAATGAATTGTGCTGTTATATATACAGTACTTACACTATCATCTAAAAGTTTGGGGTCTGTAAGATTTTTTGAAAGAAGTTGCTTATACTTAGCCTGGTTAAAACCAGACCATTCTCAGTTGTAACTGAGTTATGGTCTGGCAAAGCGTCATAGACAAATCATTTCCAGAGGGGCGTCACCAACGGACGTCGCGGATAGACCTAAACCCAATCAGAGCGATGAAGGAGATGACGTATGCAGAGCGGCGGAGAAACGTCTCCGAGTGTTGTTCTTTGCTCGGTTTAAAAAAAAAAAGGAAACGTTCAAATTGCTTAAAACAGACGCGATAGCTGATTCGAACGAGTGATGTTCCACGGCGGCATCCATCTTTGTAATGTAGGCTACAAAATCCCAGCGCTGTCGTCATCGTGTAAAGCCCGCCCCAACGTTTCTGATTGGTGCCTCGATTTCGGCGGATTGGAAATGGGCTTGAATGAGCTCTTTGCCAGACTCACTTTCAGAGCAAATCTAAATTTGCCGGAAGTTGTCTGGGTTTTCCCAGGCTAGCTTATACTCGCATTTGTTTGATCAAAAATTTGCTCCTCAAAACACATTTCTTATTATTATCGATGTTGAAAAAAGTTGTGCTACTTCTAAGGTTTGCTTTTTTTTGATGAATAGAAAGTTCAGAAGAACAGCATTTATTTATTTGTTGCTGGGTTTATATTTATATTAAACTATTAATAAATAAAAAAATACTGACCCCAAACTTTTGAAAGGTAATGTTACTATTTTCTATTGGTATTGTTTGGTATTAAATGAAATTGTTCAATTATCCTTAATATTTATATAAGTCTTATTAATTTTGCCTCGTCCACCGTCTAGGAGTTGTTGTTTTTTCACAATGGCACAATGCATTATGAAAATAGAAAGGATACATGTGATGCTGCCTTAGTATTTGGCCCGCAATGGAATTAAATTAAATTGTGTTAGATGTTATCTCAAATATATTGGAATTTTACCAGCTGACTCTCGTTATTGATGTCAGGCAGCAACATCCACTGAAAAAGTCATATTGGTCAACCACTATCAGTATTGTCGTTCTCGTGTCACTCTGAATTTGCTATTTATAATGACATTGATGATCATGCAATGTACAACCCAACTAATCAAAACCCGCTATAAAATAATAAATAGCTTCGCCCATCCACACCCTCCGCCCCTCAACGCGATTGGCCCCCTATGTACAGTCCTTCGCCCTCATTGGCTACAGGGGAAACTCCCGCTCACATTAGCAAGACAATGATGTAGATGAGCAGCAGGCAGATGAGGATGAGGCAGAAGTTGACGAAGAGCTCCTGCATGTTTTGCTTGGCCTGCTGGGGAACCTCCATGGTGGACGCCCGGCGAATGGCCGCCCGTGTGATGTGCTGCACCTTGTCCATGCCGAAGCGGGGTGGGTGGGATGGATTAGTGCAGAGAGAGGGGAGAGGTGCGGACGGAGGAGAGAGAGGAAGGAAGAACGGCAGTACCCCAAGCTGGGGACGAGAAGCGCTGGTTGTTGTGGTGATCTGGTTGCCAGTGGACACAAGGCTGAGGGGAGGGAGCAGACAGATGAAAGAGTGAATGTGCATGCTATATATTCACACGTGACATGCAGGCCTGCTAGATGTCTTAGAAGACTGTAATATGTTCTTAAAGCGGTATTCATTCAAAAATCAAAGTTCTGCTATCATTTACTCACCCTCTAAACCTGTATGATTCTGCAAAACACAAGATGAGGATATTTTGAAGAATTTTGGGGTCCAAAAAATAACATTGGACCCTATATTGTATAGACAAACATGTACAAAATATCTTCTTTTGTGTTCTGCAGAAGGGTGGGTTTTCTTTTTTGGATAAACTATCCCTTTTTCACATGATTTGCATTCGGGCTTAGATAAGAATGTAACGGGCCACTTTGACTTTCACATAACAAATGTTACGGAAGAGTGATTTTACAATGTAGTATGGTAGCAAGAATGTGTCAAGTTTATACCGTGTTTGGAACAGAAAAATGTTGTTTGCTTAATTGCTTTTATACATTTCAGAAAGAAAGAGAGAACTCGATGATCATGGGTTCATGAAATTTTAAGTCTTGGGATGATTTTAATTAATTGAACTAAGGTGCTAAA